TATGCCTTCAGCACCGAGGCCAGCTCCCTAGCAGCAGGCATCAGGGTCATCTTTTTTTGTTGTTGTTTTGTTTTTTGTTTTTTGTCTTTTTGAGACAGGGTCCCCCCTGTAGCCCCAGCTGTCCTGGAACTCACTATGTAGAAGAGGCTGGCTTTGAACTCACAGAGATCCACCTGCCTCTGCTTCCCCAGTGCTGGGATTAAAGGTGTGCACCACCACACCCGGCTATCTTTTTTTTTTTTCTCATCGGAGTTTTTATTGGATTTTTTATTTATTGTCATGTACAAAACAAAGGAAACCAGGCAAAATGACTGGCAGCATCTTTAAATCAGAATCTTGCATTCTGAATAGTTTTCCAGACAATTGGGCAGTTGCTCACATGCACTCACATTAATGGTGACAGCATGAACAAGACCCACATAAACACAAGCCAAAAAAGTCCCAGCACAGAAGTGGGGAAGTGGATAAGAAGCCCTAGCTGAGGAACTATTGGCAACCAGCTACTGCTGGGAGAGGAAAAGTTGTTTACTTTAGGGTATGACACTGGATAGATTAACAAGGCTCCAGTAGATGGACCCATATTGAAGGGCACTTGGGGGCACGAATTTGACATAATAGGTTTTAATATATATAACATGAAATTGGGCAGGATGTATTAAGATGGTGCAGAGAGAGGGTCTAAATATGATCAAAATATATTGTATGAAGTTCACAAAGAATTAAAAAGACAAAAGGAAGAAAGAAAACAGGAAGTACCTATTTTTAAATTAATGGATATCTGATTTTTGAGACTGTTTACAATAGCAGTTGTGTTTGATGGAGAGGGCGTCTCTGATGGTTTTAATTTCTGATTAAAAATATTCTCTGTCATCTTTATTTGCACAAAAGTCTAGAACCTGTCATGAAGGGATGGTGATTAAATTACCACACATCCATCCAGTGGAACATTCCACTGATTTCTATTTAACAACAAAAATCTTTCCATGAATTTGTGTGAAATGTTAGCAAGCTACATGGTTGTCTGGCAAAAGCAATGTGGCTGTGTGCAGACTGCCATAAACACACAAAACAAGCATGAAACAATGGCTAGAGAGCCAATAAGAAACTATTAGCTGATACTTCTGGAAATGTGGGTGTGTCCTAGAGGTTTGGAATAAGAAATTTACTTTTATTTATGCATCCTTTCTAGGCAGAGAAAACAAGATGATTTTAAATTATGCATAGAGAAGAGATATAAACACACACATCCACATGGATATGTACTAAATATTCTAAAGAAAACTAAAAACTGGAGTGAATTAGTTGAACAAATTTAAATGAAACAAAACACACACTGTTCTTGAGTGGGAAGACAGACAAGGCATCATCAAACTTCAATTCTCACAGCTACCTGCATATTCAATAGATTCCAGTTAAAATCTCAAATCCGTTTTTCAAAATTATTGACTCCCCCAAAGTGTCATCTTGAAGAATCAACATTTCAGAATGGGCAAGAACATGTTTCAGAAGTAGATTGGATGCCCAGGATAGGTATGGGAATAGGGATTTCTTACTAGTTATAAAACTTTATTATAAGCAGGAGGTAATGAATGTGGCACCTTTCTAAAATATGAATAAACAGGCACAAAACTGGGGCAGAAATAAAAGTCTAGACATAGATAACTGGGGATAACTGTCCATGTGTACATGAATCCATACCCATGAGCATTCTTTTGGCCATCCATCCTGCACTTCCTGAATCCCCACGTAATCCTTCCTAATAGCTACTATAGTGTTAATATTCTCATTGTTGTGACAAAATACCTGATGAGAAGCAACTTAATGGAGGAGGGGTTTATTTTGGCTCACCGTCTGAGGGTATAATCCATCACAGCTGGGAAGATGTGGTGACAGAAGCCAGAGGCTGCTGGTCACATTGCACCTGCCATCAGGAGGCAGAGAGAGGTGCACGCTGGTGCATAGCTCACTTTCTCCTTGCAATGTAGTTAGGCACCCCAGCCTATGGAGTTATGTCACCCATATTTCAGGTCGGTTTTTCCATATCAATTAACATATTCTGGAATAATTCCTCACAGACATGCACATAAACTTGTCTCCAAGGTGACTCTTGGAGATCTTGTGAAGTTGACAGTTTTAACCATCACAGTTCCAACTTTGTGCTAAGGAATGACCCCTTGAATCCTAAAGAATTCAGTTAACTACAGAAAAATATTTTAAAACATGGAACAACATTCATTACCAATTAAAAATCAAATCACAAAGCAACACAGAAGGAAAGCACATGTGAATATACCACATGTAGATATATATATACACAGATATAGCTACACATATAGACATATTTATATACATAGAAATATCTATATAGAGAGAAATATGTATACACATAGACATATCTATATACATAGACATTTCTATACATAAAGATATATACATTTACTTAGACAATACATATATATTCATATAGACATATCTATACATCTAAAATAATATATACTTATAGAAAATCAACACATATAGACAGATGTACATTTAGACAATCTATACATACACATATATCTGTACTTATAGACAATCTATACAGATAGACATATCCATATATATATGTACATGTATACATATCTATATATATAGACAGCTATATATGCACATTTATACATATAGACAAATCTATACATATATATTGTGGTGGTTTGAATGAATACATCCCCCATAGGTTCCAAGTATCTGGACATATTATCCCCAGTTGGTGGCGCTGTTTTGGGCATTCTTAGAAGGTGTGGCTGTCCTGGAGGAAGCATGTCACTGGGGGCAGGCTTAGAGAGTTCTTAAGCCTTGCCAAATCTCCAGTCACACTCTTGCTTCCTGCGTTTGCTTGAAGATGTAGAGTTTGGCTTCTGCTCCTCCTCTAGCCACCTCTGCCACCATGCCTCCTGCCAAGATGGACTGTAATTCCCCTAGAACTGTAAGCTCAAATAAACTCTTCCTTCTATGAGTTGCTTCAGTCAGTGTTTCTCTCATGGCAACAGAAAAATGACTAATATATATATATATATATACACACATACAAATACACATATCCATATCTATACACAATCTATACATACAGACATTTGGTATGCACAGGAAAGATTGGAAAGACACTGTAAACTGACTGATAAAACTGTGAGTGTAAGTTGTGATTTTTTTCTATTTCTATAGTAGGTGAGAGTGTATTTTTCACATTTTTATAGACGTTATCTCATTTAACACCACAGGAGACTTGGAGCAGGTAATTGCCACATATAATAGGAAAGGGAAATAAATCTGGGTGAGAGGGGCACTTGAGTGATATCCCATTAATATTAACAGTAGATCATGATGCCATGACTCCAAACCCAGAGCTCTTCCTACCACCTGTATGGCCCCTAAACAAAGGAAAGCACTGGTCTGAAACATTGAGATAGCTGGTCTGTGTGAGTCCAGACAGAGACATTCCTGATCACACTCTATGTGAGACAGATGCTAATGCTTCCCTATCATCATCTAGCCAGAGAGACCCATGGGAGACAGCACGAGTGTGGGCCTGTCTGTATGCATGTGATGTTCTTTCATGAAGTAGGTGATGCTGGGAAACATAGTTTGTCTGAGAACAGCATGAAGAGTTGGAGAGAACAGCCCTTAAAGACAAGATAGTATGTGTGAGCTTTCCTTTTAAACTGGGCTGCTAGGCACTACCACTTTATCTTAATTCAATCACTCTATCTCCCACAAGGCTTTGCATAGGAAAATAAGAGCCCCAGATAAAGATGTCTGAGTCCTTGTAAAGAGCAGATCACACTATATCCATAGCATAAAGTATTTAGGAACAAAGAAGGTGATCAAGTCACAGAGATGGGACTGCAAGTCACTCTTGCTGATAACGATTGAGTTCAAGCTGTGCCAGTTCTTTATACTCCTGGGGAGGACTGCACCTGCAGAAGATGCTGCTATGCATGTCACAGTGATGAAATCTGCTCCATGATCTCCAGGACACAGTTACGGCAAAATAAGATTAAACTCCAATGATTAGTTTTCGTAACTCAGTAGGTTCTTCAGCACTGAGACGGCCAATATTCACTGGTCCTGCAGGATTTGGAGATAAGACTGTGGAAGACAGCAAACTTCCCCATAGCTGTCCCCTTGAACTCAAACAACATGGCCACAAGGAAAAGCAGTATAGTCATGTTACAGAAAAGCTCTGGTATTTTTCCCTCCTGACTTCTCACAATGATCACCAACAGGCAGAGGAAACAGTCAGGTAGCCGGGGAGCAACATGACTCCGAAAAGGAGCCCCATCGCTGTCTCAAAGACAAAGAAGCCACACTAATGCCCCTGTACCTGGGAACCATGGTCCTCCCAGGAGGACCTCCCATACTTGAATTCTGCCATGAGCACTTTGATTTCTGTCCCAGTGAGCTGAGGATATTGTAAGATCAAGAGCTGACTTATCTTGAGGTGAGACTTACACCCAACCCACCACTAAACTGACTTTCTGAAAGGTATCCAGCATACTGTCTACAGTTTTCCTAGGTGTAACATTCGTTTTACACACATGCACATGCACACGCACATGCACACTAAATTTAGTAAATCAGATGTGGAGCATGCCTGTAATCACAGAACATTGGAAGCAGAGGCAGGAGGATTGCTAAAAATTTAAGACCACCCTGGTTTATTATCTTGAGTTCCAGGCCGGCTATGGCTATACAGGTAAGACTGCTTCAAATAAGACAAAACAAAACAAAAAAGAATAAAATAAAAAAGAAAAATACTACAATAATTTGTAGAAACAAGTTTTAATTGGGAGAGTTTACAGACGTGAATCAACATTAACTGAAATTCCTTAAATGACTAGAAAGCTCATGATGATGGCACGTTTCTATAAGAACTAAAGAATGTAATATAATCACCTCTTCAAAAGCTCCCCTAAAAATCAAAGCCTCTGACCTTTATAGAAAGTTTGCATTTCATTACTTACCAACTGACAGCCTTCTAGGGAGTTGACTAGCTGAGCGTTCTGGCAGGAGAGGATGGAGCCAGCCAAGTTCAGCATCACACACACCGCAGAGAGCAACATGAAAAAGGTTATCTGGAAACAAACCAAACAAAAAATTGATTATTCACTTGGCATGGCTTGAAGGGAAAATGACTTGGCTTTAAAAACACTTTAGGTTGATGAAATAATTACATGAATAGTATTTGTATTTTTTAAAGGAAAATGTGATTGTTTCTCAACATGTCAAATTCACATTACCCTAAATAAGAAAAAGTGAAGACCATGAAAAGCCAAAGCACGTACCATGATTTTCTTTGGAACTTATGATCTCATATTTCAGAAGCTAAACTTGAAAATATTACGCATTCTATACTCTCTACAAAACAAGCCATAAATTATGAAAGAAAAGCAAGGCGAAAAATGTATTGATGAGAAGGGCTTTAAGTTTATTTCTTACAGTTTTTATTATGGGAAACTTCATATGTAAAAGAGAAGAGTAATCCAGGGCCCCAGGCACCCACCTCCCAATCTTAGTACTTAGGCAACACACGCTGCCTTCCCTATATGGAATATGTTACACAGAAAGAAAGAAATCATGTAATCTCATCCTTAAAGTTTCTGCATGTATTTATAAAGTATTATAACGAGCCACTTTTGTAAATATATCCAAGTGGTATTAAAATTAAACTCATTAATATCAAGTACTAGAAAATGCATCTCCACAGTTGTCTATATTTTCCACACTTCGAACCAAGTCACACAGGATATAATAGAGATCGATACAGTATAACTAGTTATGAACTTTAGCCTCTCCTCCCTTTCCCTCCCCTCCTCTTTTCCTTTTTAGTCTTCTCTAGACAGGGTCTGACTATGTACCCTAGTCCAGCCTTGAACTCAAAATCCTTTCTTCTCTCTGACTTTCAAATGCTGGGAGAATCTTAATTCTTGATCTATGGGTTTCCACTATCATTCATTTTTCCTTAAAATTTATTGAAACTAATTCATTCGCCCTATAGAGTGAATACCCAGGCTGAGTTTTACAAAACACCTTTTGGGATCAAGAATAATCACAGGCAAGTATGATCAAAAGCAGCGGGATTATCAGGAAAGCTCACTGAAGACTGTGAAACAGGTAAAATGTGTTAACTTTCAATCTTTTCTAGTGTGCCCTTCTGGGCTATTTTACTTTTCATTGTCATTACACTATCTTAAACTGTTCCCAGTTGTCGAAAACTGATACTAGTGCAAACGGCTCTTGGCAATGCAAATGTAAACCAATTTTGTCAGTGGAATATAACTAATTATCACCCCATGGCTACTGGCAACCTTCATATATAACATTAAGTGTATTTCAGAATCACAAGCCTACATGTCTTCAATGTTTAAATTTCCCCTTGAACTGCTTGTAAAATTTTACTGATTCCCTCTTGATATAATAAGTTATATAATCTTTAACTGGTGTTTGTTGTGATGCTTATAGCTGGTTTACAAGCACTCTGCAAGGTTAATAAGATGTTTTGGTTTGGGGTGTATGGGGGATGGGGGGTATCTCTGTGTGTGTGTTTGTGTCTGTGTTTACGTCTGTGTCTCTGTGTGTATAGGTACATGCATGCCTCTGTGTATGTCTATGTGTGATATGTATCTATGCTCATGGTTGGGTACACATGAACTCACATGTATGTAAAGTATCATAAGAAACCAATGACATAAGCACAGTTGACACATTTCAATCACTAGAGTCATTAGACAGATTGAGCTCATTCACATTGACCCCTGGGTCCTCGCACACAAGTCTATTAAACTTTGATTATTTTCCTGGTTCTTTGGGGGCTCCCAGACCATTTCACACATTTCCTGTCTCAGGTCTGGAATCTGTGTGAGTGCCTATCTAGGAACCCAGGCTTCTTTCATTGATAATGGTATGTAGATGGCATAGTTCTGTGCTAGAGATGACCTGTGCTCTTTGGATGGTCATTGTTTTCAACTTTTCTGTTGCTAGGCATGCCCTGAGCTCCTATTGATATTTCTAAATCAAATTCCAAACTACAGGTTTTAACCCCATTGATTCTATGTCTACAGCTCCTTTCAACCATGCCAAAATCCTTTGTTTCCAATACAATTTTGTGTTGCATTTAATTCTACAATACCCACAAGCAGCCTCTGAATCACATACCAACATGACCACCAATACATAACTAAGGAAATGATTTAAGACAGACATTTCTTTTCAGCCTTAGAGTACCTTCTATCAGGAATAGTCAAAATTACAGCATTGTAAACCCTCACTTTCTCTTTCATTTTTATTGTTTAGAGGTTGCTTCTAAAAATGGGGCTTTTAATTACAGAACATGATTCCAAAATCAAGTCCTAACAAAATAAATATAGAAGGAACGCCAACTAAACCTAGCCCCATCCAGTCTCCTCTCTGTTCTCTTTTGAATGCAAAGTAAACATTTATTCCTTAAATTTTATATTGCAACCTCCCATTGTTTTTTTTTTTTTTCAGTAGAAGCAAAATGAGGCAAAGCACACAGGCTTTCAGTGCCTACTTTTTTTGGGCACATGAAATAGTGAAACCATTTGATAGGAGTACAGTAAAAACAAATAGCCCTCCTTCCCTTTAATCTGATGTTCACTGCACAGATATGCCAGGATTCAGTCAGGTCTCTACTGATTGAACATTTGATTTTTCACTCTTTGGGTATTTACTACAGTATTGTAATGAACAACCCCGTTCACTATTCATGCATCCTTTTGTATATTTGTCAGTATAGCTTTGGAAATGTGCTCTTAGAAGTGAGATTGCTGGATCAAGAAAAAATATAGATCTAATTTAGCTAGACATTACCCAGCCCACCCCCATGGTATTATTTTTCATTCCCACTAATAAGGTTTGAGAATGACAAAAACTTAATTTTTCTGTTAATATCTAAACAATGTTTAGCTGATTTAAACTCAGGAAGAAGCTGGTATTACCATTCACTGTCAGAAGTAGGCTTTATCCCAGAGATGCAGGGATGGTACAATATATGCAAGTCAATCTCATTCACCATAATCAAGTATGAGATGCAGGAATGGTTCAATATATGCAAGTCAATAAATGTCATTAATCATATAAATAGAAGTGTCATTAATCATAAAAATGGACTCAAAGACACAAACCACATTGTCATCTCAATAGATGCAGAAAAGGCTTTTGACAAAATTCAGCATGCATTTATGTTCAAAGCCCTAGAGGGAACTGGACTGGAGAGAATACATCTCAACATAATTAAAGCTATATACAACAAACCCACAGCCAATATCATTCTAAATAGAGAAAAACTGGAACCATTCCCATTAAAATCAGGAACCAGACAAGAATGTCCACTATCTCCACTCCTTTTCAACATAGTGCTTAAAACTCTTGCTAGAGAAATAAGACAGGTGAAGGAAGTTAAAAGGAGTACTAATTGGAAACGAAGAGGTCAAACTATCACTTTTTGTAGATGATATGATATTATACCTAAGAGAACACAAAAGTTCCACCAGAAAAGTCCTAGAACTGATCAACACTTCCAGTATAGTGGCAGGTTATAAAAATCAATCTACAAAAAATCAGTAGCCTTTTTTATATACCAATAACAAGCAATTGGAGAAAGAATACAGGGAAATGCTCCGAGAATACAGGGAAATGCTCCCACCCACAATTGCTGCAAAAATTTAAAATATCTTGGAATAAATCTGATGAAAGACATCAAAGATCTCTACAATGAAAAATTTAAATCATTAAAGAAAGAGATTGAAGAAGACACCAGGAGATGGAAGGACCTCCCATGTTCATGGATTTGGAAGAATTAATATTGTTAAAATTACCATCCTACCAAAAGCAATATACAAAATCAATGCAATCCCAATCAAAAATCCCTGTGACATACTTCACATAATTAGAAAAATGCATCCTTAAATTCAGATAGATTCAATGCAATGCCAATCAAAATCCCATGACATACTTCACAAAATTAGAAAAATGCATCCTTAGATTCATATGGAGGCACAAAAGACCGTGGATAGTCAAAGCAACCCTGAGCACAAACAGCAATGCTGGGGAGATTACTATATCAGATCACGTATACTACAGAACCATACTCGTAAAAACAGCATGGTACTGGCCAAAAAAAAGAAAAAGAAACCAGACACATAGATAAATGGAACATCATTGAAAATTCAAACCTGAGCACACACAATTTCAGCCACCTGAGATTTGACAAAGGTGCCAAGAACACACAATGGAGGAAAGACAGCATGTTCAAATGGTGCTGGCAAAACTGGATCTCCACCTGAACAAGAATGAAAATAGAGCCTTATCTTTTGCTTTGCACAAAAGTCAACTCCAAATGGATCAAAGACCTCAATGTGAAACTGGAAACCTTGAAACTATTAGAAGAAAAATATTGTCAGTAACTTACAAGATATAGGTGTAGGATAGGGTTTTCTAAATCAGGTAGAAGTTGCTCAGGAATTAAGTTTAGCAGTCAACAAGTGGGACTTCATTAAACTAAAAAGCTTCTGTATAGCAAAAGAAACAATCAAAAAAGTGAAGAGAAAACCCACAGAATGGGAACAAAATCTTCACCAGTGACACATCTGACAGAGGTTTAACATCCAGAATATATAAAGAACTCAAAAGACAAAGAATCGAGAAACCAAATGACCCAATGAAAAGATGAGCTAAAGATCTAAACAGAGAGTTCTCAAAGGAAGAAATAAAGATGGTTAAGAAACATCTCAAAAAGTGTTCAACATCATTAGTAATTAGGGAAATGCAAATTAAAACCACCCTAAGGTATCACCTTACCCCAATCAGACTGGCTAGGATCAAGAAAACAAATGATACCAAATGCTGGTGAGGATGTGGAGAAAGGGGAATGCTCATTCACTGCTGGTGGGATTGCAAACTCATGCAGCCTCTATGGAAAACAGTGTGGAGAACTCTTAAAACACTAAAAATGAACCTACCATATGACGCGGTTATTCCACTCCTTGGCATGTACCCAAAGGACTCATCCTATTGTAGAGACACTTGTACAACCATGTTTGTTACTGCTCTTTTC